CTGTGACTGCGACTGCGGCAGTTGCAGCTGGGAAAGAAAAGAAAGGAAAGGGGAAAAAGGGGCTGCGGACGGGATTGCGGCCGCAGTGGCAGCGACTGCGTATGCAGTAGTTATGTCTGCGAGAGAAGGGAGCAAGGAAGTAGTACAGTGGAAGGGGCTGCGGTTGTGACAGCAGCTGCGGTCGTGGCTACGACTATGGTAGTGGCAGCGGCGATGGCTGCGACAACTGTGTTTGAAAAAGAAAACGAAGGAATGAGAGTAAGAGAGAGCAGGTGACTATGCCTCTATGTTCTGCATGAGCTGTAGTTGTGGAGGAAAAAGAAAAGACATGTAGAAAACGAAACAGAGAGAGAGGACACGGAGGAAAAGTACAAGGATTTGGGCTGGCACACTCTTTGGATCTTCGTATCGAAATCTTTGAAAGCCAAGTTTCCTGATCGTTTCTCCTGTAATTGTTCTAATCTTTCCTATTGCAAGTATCCTGATCTTTCCTCACTGCAATTTTATCTCTACATTTGCTTTGAATATTAGGAACTTTGAATTGTTCTAGCCTTGCACTTGATATATCTCCTGTTTAGACGTAACGATTCGAATCTGTGCAACTTCCAAGATTCTGACCTTTCTACCTTGTTATGATTATAACTTCATGTATTGACATCTGATTTGGACAAAACTTATTTGATCAGAATATAGACTCATAAACCTTTGTTTTGATAGCTTATTTTAAGAATTCGGAGTAAGTTCGTCTGCTCAAACTTTTGTTTCAAATGAGCCTACAGATTCTGCAAAACAGGGATCGTAATTTCTGACCTTTTGATACTGAACTGCTTATAAGTCCTTGTTGCAAACATTGATTTATTCAAAACTTATTTCATTGGAAACTAGACTCATAGATCTTTCTTTTGATATATGGATTGAAAGATTTGGAATTCAAACACCTGCCTAGTTATCTGTTGAATCTGACATTATGAATTCTGCCAAATAGAGATTTTGTTCTACGACCCTTGTTTACCAAATTATTTGTAACTCTCTCTATTGGGCAGTTCAATTCATATGAAGCCTGTCTTATCTAAAAGTGTAATCCAATGATATATTTCTGAGTAAATTGGAGCACGATTGATAGTTTGAATCATTTGTTCAATGTGCCTCTTGTATTCTGCCAGAAATCGAGCTTTGGTCGATTTCTAATATTCTAGTTTCATTCCTTTGGAAATTGATATCCTTTAGCTTTCTTATTCAATTGAGCTTTATATTACTGCTTTGAATTCTTGTATACTCTTGTCCTTAAAGTTATTTGCATTCTTGAAAACTATTGTGTAACGTTTATGCTATATCGTATTGACTCATTTAGGCACATGTGTATCTCATTGTTCCGCATTTGCTTTCGATATGTGCCTATTCCATTTCCTTTCAAAATCCGAATATCATTGTGAAAGATTATTGCTTACTTTGTATTGACTCGTAAAGGCACATGTACGTTTTGTTATTCCGCGTGTGCTTCCGATATGTGCTACTTATTGTTAAAACTGCCCTCTTGTACTCTGGTGTTTATGGGATTATCTGGACCTTTGCCAGAAATGGTAAAGGGTATGTGTTTAGAGCCTACGATGCTCTGCCGGCCCCCTCTGGCTTCACCTAGACGTGGGTGGATGGAGCTCCCAAACGTGGGAGACTTCTATCTGGTGGTCATTTAGAAATGAATGAATCACACTCTGTTTGAGATCCCACTACACCTTCTATATATTTGATATGATATCTAGAGCTTTGGTTATGTGTTTCGGTACAAGCTTTGGATAAGAATGATATGATTGCAACGTCAAAGACGACGTTTGAGCTTCTGTACGGTATTTGTTATTGATATGCTCTGAAAAGTTTCATTCACTGTTGATATGCTTCGAAATGTCCCATATGCCGTTGATATGCTCCGGAACATTTCATGCGCCATTGATAAGCTCCGAAACATTTCATTTGTTATTGATATGCTTCGAAATGTTCCATACGCCATTGATATGCTCCGGAACAATTCATATGCCATTGATAAGCTCCGATATGTTTCATTTGTTATTGATATGCTCCAATTACTCTATGCTCCATTTGTTATGAATCAAATATGTTTTGAATGACATGATACATATGATTTTGTATCTAATGAAATGGTATCCTTGAGAATTCTTGTATTCTGCCTTGCATTATGATACCTTACTTATTTGAAACCATTCCTTTTGTTCTGAATATGCTTTGTCACTTGCTGAGCTGTTTTTAGCTCATTCTGTTGTTATATAAATCTTTCAGGTCAGCTTGTCACCATTTGAGATGTTTGATATGGGCTGAGGCAGTGGATAGCTATTCAGAATTATGGGCAAGTCTTGTTGGTTGTTATGCTATTGTTGTATAAGCATATTTTGTATGTAATAAAATATTATTGATGAATCGAAATGGATATACTGTGTAAAAGTGTTAGAAGATCTCTCTTATTTGAAATTTCGGAATGTTAAGTCCAATTTATGACGATATGAACTTGTGGTAAATGGTTGGAGTTATGATTGTATAAATTACATAGCTTGTGGATTTATAAATGTTGTTTATGTTTGTTAAGTTGGCTTGGATTGCCATAAATATGAATTATCGAGTGACGTGATATATGATTATAAACTGCACAGGTTTTATAGATGTGAATTTGATAGAATGTTTTTCAGTGTCCTCAAATGTGTGTTTGGATCCTGGATTGGTTTGTGTTGAAAATTTTAATATCGTGGATATTTTGAGGGGCGTGACAGCGACCGAGGATGGCGTTGTAAGCAACAGGAAGATCTACCACCAAGAAGGTGGACATCACCGTCTTTGTTCTGGGCGGCGCTCCCAAGGTGAGGGGCAAGGTAATAGTCCCCAATGGTGAGACCGAATCGTCGGTGAACCCCATGAGCGCTGAGCAGATAGGCTTCAAGGATTCTTTGGTTAACTCTAACTTCTGGAAGGCATCCAGATAGAGCACGTCGGCTGAGCTCCCGGTGTCGATCATGATTCTCCTCACCTAGGCATTAGCGATTCGAGCCATTATCATAAGCGCGTCGTCGTGCTCCGGTGACTTGACGTCCTCGGGAGGGAATGCGATCTTAGGGTCAGGACCCCATTGGGGAGCGTCACTCCTGGCGGAACGGGCGTATGCCTTTCTCCCGGACATACTGGTTCCCCCAGCCGTCGGTCCTCCGGTGATGACATCGATGTGGCGCTCCATGGGGCCCTCCGGGAGAGGCGAGGGCTCCCCGTTACGTCGGACGTACCGACTGAGGTGACCCCCGCGGACAAGCTCCTCGATCTGTCGTTTCAGTTCATGGCCGTCTTCGATGTCGTGCCCGTTTTGCCTGTGAAAGCGGCAATGCTTGGACTGGTCGGTGAGCTCTCGTGGGTTTTTTATCGGAACGGGAGCCCTGAGCAACCCTCTCTCCTTTATCTGGAGAAATATCTCCGTTCGAGATGCGCCTAGAGGGGGCAGAGGAGGCCTCGGAGCGGGCAAGTCGGATTGGTCCAGCCTGCGCCTAGTCGCGGCAAGCTGATGCCCGTGAGCCGGCTCCGGTCTAACCCTCGCGTGCCTTTCCTGCTTTCCGGCCATCAAGCCTCAGCTGCGACGAATTGGTTCGCCCACTGAAGCATCTCAGGTACCGCGGAGGGGGGTCTCTCAACGAGGGACCAGAAGAATCGGGAAGGTCACAGTCCCGCCAAGAACGCCTGCATCAACAGAGAGGGGTGAGCGTCGGATAATCCCTGGATCTGCGTGGCAAAACGGTTCACAAAGTGGGAGAGGGACTCGTCCTCCCTCTGGTGTAGTCCGAGAAGCAAGGCAACGGACGGTTTCGACCGTGCGCTGGCTGAGAAGTTGAGCTCGAAGTCTCTAGTGAGCTGGTCGAATGAGGCGATCGTCCCGGTCCTCAGGCCGTCGTACCACGTGCGAGCTAGTCCCCTTAGTGTTGTGGGGAACGCCCTACACATCAGAGCGTCAGAAGTTACATATAGTGCCATTTGGGTGCGGAAGGCGGCTACATGGTCCGCTGGGTCGGTGGAGCCGTCGTATGTGTCCAGAGAGGGGAGACGAAAGTTCTATGGGACTGTCTGATCCTGTATTTCGGGGACGAATAGGGATCCCTGATGTACGTCCTCCCCGAGCTCTCCTCTTGACCTGCGAACCTCCTTATGTACCTCGTCAAGCCGTTGACTGACGAGGAGCAACTGGGCTCGCAGGGAGTCCGTCGAGGCCGAAGGAAAGGCCTCGGGTTGGGCGTGGCGCCTCTCCGGTCCGCCGTCACTCGATCCCTGAGTGGGGACGACGGGACCCGAGGCGAAGTGGGAAGCTCCAAGGGCTGCGCTTGAGCCTGAGCAGGCGGCTCCTGCTGTCGCACCGGTTCGGCGGCCGACGGGTGCAGCGTTCCGGAGACGAGTGGAATGATGGACTATACCATATCAGTTAGAACTTGGACCTGATGGGTGAGGTCGAGAAAGGCCTCGGACGAGACGGGCGATGGTTCGGCGGAGGGGGCGTTGGGCGGCAACAAACCCTGGTCATTGAAGATCCGCTAATAGCGCTTTGAAGTTATGGCGGGGTGTTCGCTACGGAGACCCGTCCGCGGGGAATGTTCCCCTGGAGCCCCGATCGGATGCGCCCCCTCGATTGCGGGTTCGGTCGAGTCAGCCCGGCGATCCCTCAACATCGGCCCTCCTTCTAGCACCAGAATGTTGGTGTAAATAACTTTTTAGCCGTGGCCTCGGGGCTGACGCAGCTTGGTTCGGGTCTGGATGACGGGTCGCCGTTTCCTTTAGGAAGGGGCTCCTTGCCAACGTGCCCGAAGAGAGGCGCCTCGCCTTCGTCCCTGCACGTAGGTCGGGTCGGGATGCTCGACCCGATCCCTCTGATGATTAAGTTAGTCGATGATCGTGGAAGTATTTTGTTTTTCTTTTTTTCCCCCCTTTCTGTTTAGAATGCAAGGGTATTTATAGGGGAGTTCGGTGTTACCTGATGTGTCTGCTCGTAGGGGGTAGGATCGTACCTTTTGATGACGTCTGACATCGTTGTTGGCGTGGCGTGCGGAATCGAGCCTGAGCGGTCGTTAATGGGCCTCGGTTAGCGTTACGACCCATGTTAGATAGGCACTGTCAGCCCGATAGGGACGTGGGGCGTCAACGGGTGTCACGCAAGTCTTATCGTAATTATTACCCTCATCAGATAGATAGAGTTTCTGAATTCGTAAAGTGTTTTTCTTGAGAAAAATATAGAAGATTTAAACTTGTCCTACTCTTCCTTTGTTTGATATCTCTATCTCCTCTTCCTATCAAGTTCAACAGAGGTGTCACGTATCAAGGTGTGGAAGAACTTGCAGACGGCCTCGGATCGAATAGGAGAAGTCGTCGGAACTCTAGAGAGTGCCTCCATGAGCATATTCTCCGAGGTTAAAGTCAGCAGCGTCTTTGTCCTCGTCTCATGCTCTCCATATGATATTGTACTCCTCTTTTGGGGAGCTGCTTACGGATCCGGTTCCTTCTTGATCTCGAAACTTGTGAGCCTGTGCTTCGTCTCGATCCTAATAAGGAGATATCATACTCCTAATCAAATATTAACTCCTAATTCAACACAAACTTCTAATCTAATTCTAATCGAATTTAAATTACAGTTCTAACATCTTCCTTTAATTTAATTTAATTTTTTTTAACTGTGTAAGTAATGTATTCAGATGCTTCAGTCTTCAGATTCGATCCGTATATTATTTAATCTCTTTCATTATTTTAAATTAAAATTTCTAGATTATGATAGAAAATTTTTGGATTTCTAAATCCACTGGTCGGCAAGACATTCAAAGGATTCGGATTCGGATTCAGATCCCAGCCTGTGGCCATCCGACTCGAAAGCATCTTTTTCTTAGAAGATTCACATCCACAGCACAGGGATCAATCGATTCAACTGAGGACTACAATACTGCAAATATTGTTACTGAGACTGCTACACGCAATCTCATGCCCGCAAGCTGGTGAGAGGCACAAGTGTTGATTTCTGAATTGGCAACAGACCAAGGAGAGGGAGGAGTTTTCTCCTGCTTTCACTCTCGTCCATTCTTTCTTCCTCCTATATCTTCACATATAGACATCTTTACCCTTAAATTTCTTGTGAAACCTGTTCATGATGAATGCGCGGATCTCTAAGATCGACAAGGGCATGACGGTCTTTTCAAAAAATACAGCAGAGTTGACATGGTCATCTTGTGCTGGCAAACGGAAGAGCAAGGAACAAGGTTTCCCTTGTATATATGATCAACCCCAATTCTTCCAACGGATTGTTTTGGACCATCTCAATTTGCTTTCTTCCAATAATATCTCCAAACGCCCCTTGGTAAGATTTCTGAGTTCTTGCATGTCATGTTTGCATCAAAAGCTTTTGATCCATGTTCTTCATCTCATCTGCAGTGTTCGTCGTTTCCGAAGAGAAGTTGGCACTGCATTGAGTCATGCTGCGGCATGTTGCTCGACAGATGAGCCTCGCAATGCAAGACGTGTTCGATTGCCTCTATGCGAACAGTGTTCTCGACGTGCTCCGTGTGATCGAGGACTCAAATCAATGACAGAGACGATCGTGTTGTTGTTCATCGGGTGATCGAGTCGAGCATGGAGGAGGCCGTCACCAGCTCTCATCGTGATCCCGCCGACAAGCATGCAGAAGAAGCAGCAGGCGGCAAGACGCCGCCGCAGTGCTCGGTGATCTCCACCTACCGGGCAAAGATCGGAGGCGTACCGCGAATCGTGACGGTGGTGTGGAGCAAGAACCTCATGAACCACTCCCTCTCCGTCTCCATCGAGAAGGGCAGCAGCTTGACCTGCAAGGTGGACCTGAAGCCATGGCCGTTCCGGAGCAAGAAGGGGTCCAAGTCCTTCGACGTTGACGGCAAGCAGATCGACGTCTCCTGGAACTTCCGGTTGGCGAAGTTCTCGGATGGGCCGGAGCCAACCGAGGGCTACTATGTCGCGCTCGTCTGCGACGAGGAGGTCGTCCTCCTCCTCGGCGACAGGAAGAAGAAGGCCTACAAGAAGACCAGGTCGCGGCCTTCCTTGGAGGAGGCCACACTGGTGTCCAAGAAGGAGAACGTCTTCGGAAAGAAGTGTTTCGCCGCGAGGGTCAGATTCGACGGCAGGAACAAGGAGCACGACATCGTGGTGGCCAACTCCATCGCGGAGCACAAGGATCCCGAAATGTGGATCAGCATCGACGGCGTCATACTGATCCATGTGAACCACCTGCAGTGGAAGTTCCGGGGCAACGAGACCGTGTGGGTGGAGCAGGTGCCGGTGCAAGTGCTATGGGACGTGCACGACTGGCTCTTCCGAGGCCCCGGATCCGGCCACGCCCTGTTCATGTTCAAGCCTGGGCTGCCGGCCCTGGCGGCGGAAGAGAAGCACGACGGAGGCGACCCAGTCAGCTCCAATACCGAAAGCTCCATGGTTAGCAGCGGCGGCGGTGGTGACGATGGGTCTCCAGAGTTTTGCTTCTTCCTGTATGCTTGGAAGATGGAATGATGTAGAGGGAGGATCCTATAGGATGTTTAGATCAACCAACAATTCTGGTGACAAGATGATCGTAGCTTTTCTTTCAAGGTTTCGTTGTCGATTTATACGTGCAGTCCAACCCAACCAAACGATGTCCATGCTGTACTTGATAGCCTCTTGCTGTTCAGTAAAGCCATAGATCACAACTTGCAACGTGTGATGGAATCAGAACAAGGCATTGTGCATGTGATGAACTACTGCTAGTCAATGGATGGTCTCCCTATTTAGTATTCCAATCATGGTGAACGAATCTCACATTACTACACTCACAGTAAAGCTTTCTAGATACCACTGTCCTTACCATGGCTAAGATTTTGTTCATGGCACTCTGCTTGTCTGCAGGCATGCTCCATAGTTGATTTAAGGATTATGTGTGCACTATTTTTTTTGGGTATATATACATTTTTTAGTTTCATGCCTCTCACAAAAAAGAAGAGAGGGAAAAAGATGAGCCACAATAACTCCAAATGCTCAACAAGAAAGAATCCTTTGGTAGTCTTTTGTAGTTCAAGAAGTAAACAACAAGATCAAGAGAAAAAGAAGTGCAATAAAAAAAGTAGTGGACAGCCTTCCCCTGCCTTCTCTTGGACTGCTGGGAAACACAAGTCTCCATTCCATCATACACCTCAGAAGCCAATGAAATATAATTCTGCTCACCGAGTTTGCTGCATCAACTCCCACATTTCAACTCAGAAGCTGGAGGAGCCTCTTCTTCACTATGGCTTGTAAGTCTATTAACATGCACAGCAGATTGACAAGGCAGGTGATGGATGCAAACTTTTCGATCTCATCAAAATTCTCGTAGGTTGGTTACCGCCGACAAGAGCCTGGGAAGATCGTTGTGTGTTCAGTGATTCAGGAATCTTCCACTACTGCCGGCACTTCTGAACTTCATTGCTTCAAATGATTTATCTTTCCTGGAGACATTGGTTGGTTGCGTACTGATTTCATCAGAAATAGCTGCAATGGACATGCTTGAAATGAGTAGAGCCAGGAATGATGAGAGAAAAGATTGTTATTAACCATGTTATCCAGCATCTCTGAGTTGTGATTTATTTCTCGACTAGAGAAACAAGAGGTGGCATCAAAAGCAGCAGCAGCAAATAAGATTCCTCAGAGGCGCAAGAAGCCTCCTGTAGAACTTTTGCCAGAGATGATGGAAGAGTGAAAGAGAGTCTTCAAGTCAAGAGGATGTCTCAGAGAAGGATAATAGGTTAAGTAATTCTCCGGAATCTCACAACAATGTAGGTTTCATCGGATCATAGGCCCAATTATTCTATCTTCCAGTGAGCGCACATGGTCTCCAGGCAAGGAAAACTTGTATGGTCATTGCATTTGGTTGCAAGACACCTCCATGAGATATAATTACTTTTTACTTCTCCTCCTTTGTCATCAATAAAAAAGAGAAAATTACAACTAATAATTTTTAAACCATGCAAACTATCAATTTAATAATTTTTATACTACTTTAAAATATGCAAGCTAGTAAGTTTTATATTAGTTTTGGAACATGTAAGCTAGCAAGTATTAGAGACGTGAAGTTAGCAATATTTGCTTCCTCAAAATATGTAATCTAGTAATTCTTGCTTTGAGATGTGCAAATTTACAAGTTTTGCTTCTTGATATGGGAAAGCTAGCACTTTGTTTCTCTTAAGATGTGCAAGATATCACTTCTCTTTCTCCCATTTATCATTATAAAAAAAAAGAAGAGGGGAATAATTCAATGGTGTAAAAATTTCAATCATTACATGAACACATGAAAGATCAAGTCATAAATCCGAAAGATCATGAATCAATCTAACAAGTCTTCTTTTGTAAATAAAGAATCATAGAAAATGATCTTGATTCAAATCAAGAATACTGAAAAACCATGAGTCATTTTTCGATTCAAAAATAAAACTCAAATCTAAAAATCGAGAAATCAAGATAATGATCCAAAAAAAATATAAGAATAATTCATGCATTTGGAAGATATAACATGTCTAATTCTCTTCTAATAAAATCAAATTGTTCCTCATTCAATAGTTTTATGAAAATATCTACTAATTGATGTTTTGTATCAATAAATTCTAAAGATATATCATGATTATTAACATGATCTCTAAGAAAATGATGTCTAATATCAATATGTTTAGTTCTAGAATATTGAATTAGATTATTTGTTAAACATATTGCATAAGTGTTATCGCATTTTATAGGGATATTCTTCAAATAAATTACAAAATCTACTAAAGTATTTTTTTTATCTAAATAACTTATGTACAACATGCATCTACTATTATATATTCAGCTTCAATTATAGATAATGCAATATATTGTAATATAATTATGCAATATAGATATTGCATAAGTGCATGACCTAAGAGTTGACATATTCTAGATATTCTTTTTCTATGTATTCTACATCCAGCAAAATCAACATCGACATAAGCAATTAATTCAAATTTTCTTTATTTTGGATACTATAATCCTAAGTTAGGAGTTCCTTTTAAATATTTAAAAATCCTCTTAACAGCTTTTAGGTGAGATTGCTTAGGATTAGATTGAAATCTAGCATATAGTCCAATACTAAATTTAATATCAGGTTTAGTTGCTGTGAGATATAGTATACTACCTATCATACCCCTATAAGTCTTTTGATCAAAACATTCTCCATCAATGTCCATATCTAATTTTGTAAAAAAGCTCATTGGTGTATTAATAGCCTTAGCACTATCTATATTAAATTATTTTAATAGATCTAACGTATACTTCATTTGACTAATAAAAGTTCCATCACTAAGTTGTTTGATTTATAAACCTAGGAAAAAGGTTAATTCTCACATTAATCTTATTTTGAATTCTTGGATTATATTATTGGCAAAAGATCACATAAAGACTCATTTGTAGAACAAAAAATAATATTATCAACGTAAATTTGAATAATAAAATAATTATTTTTAAAATATTTAATAGAAAATATGGTATCGGCTTTGCCTTTCAAAAAATCATTCTTAATTAGAAAAGAACATAAAAGAAAAACTCTAAATTTCTCAAAAAGGTGTTCATCGTCGTGCGAAGATTAATGCGCAAAAACTCACGAAACTAAAATCCATATATAAGATAGTTGTGTTTTACTTATGGAGATCGTATATCCTGGAATACCTATAGATCTATAGGAGAGGATGAAGGAGGTCAAACGCTCTCCTTTATAGCGGTGATCCACACATCAGGGTTGTGACGATGCTCCTCAAATCGCTGTCCAAATCTCCACACCTATTATCTAAGGAGGAGAAGGAGAGGGGAAATTAGGAGGTGACAACCAAGAAACCTCTAGTCTATAGGTCTTTGGTTCCCTCCTATTTATAGAGGCCCCTAATTAACTTAACCCTAATGGATCCTACCCTCTTGGGTACTAGATCTTCATCCAATTACCCAAGCATATTAGATTAGTGAGTTTACATCCAATAATCTCTTATTAACTCTTATTGGATCTCATCCATGAGATCCAATAATTCAATAGCTTATTGGATATCCAATAAGATAGGGGCTTTAACGGCTATCTTATATCCGAACCTCTACACATCGCAACAACTACTATATGTGTATGACCCTCTAAGCTCAATATCGAGCTAACGTGAGTCATACCCGTCAGAACTCCTTCTGACTCAGTAAATTATTATCTCTATAATAATTCACTTGACTCATCGATTGCGGACATATTAGGCCACTACGATACAATCCCCACACGATATAGGGGAATCCAATCCATTGTACCTGTTTGTCTTAAGTTACCATAGACCTATATTCTCTCATTCGTCTAATACTATAGAGACCATATACCGGGTATGGTGCTATCAGGACCATACGGTTTCTACTCGAGTTTTGCTTTAATCAGATTCTCCCGGAGAACTCTTTCTCTCTCAATTTAAATGACCCTAGCTAGGGATTTGTCTGAGTAAGAACACAAGAGATTTTTTTCTCATGACATCGAGAGGAGATGATCCTCTATTGATACTCAATAGTCCTCATAAGGTTGGCTACCACTCCCGATGACCAACTGTACTAGATATAGAACTGTTGGGAAATCTTTGGGGCGACATCACATGTGCAGCGGAAGAATAAAAAATAAAATCCCTAATTTCCAAAGATATGTTCATCGTCATGGGAAGATTAGTGCTCAAAAATTCGTAAAATACAAAACCATGTATGAGATAGATTGTATTACTTAGGGAGATCGTATATCCCTGAATCCCTACAGATCTCTAGGAGAGGGTGAAGGGGGTCAAGCGCCCTCCTCTCTAGCGGTGATCCACACAGCAAGGATGTGATGATGCTCCTCAAAACTCCAAGCCTGCTTTGAGGTTGAGAGGGGGAGGAGAATAGGAGAGAAAGCAAAAGCTCTAGCCTATAAACTATTGAAGCTCTCCTATTTATAGAGGTCCCATATCAACTTAACTCTAATGGATCCTCCCATATTGGGTATTGGATCTTCATCCAACTATCCAAGCCTCTTAGATTAGTGGATCTCTATACAATACTCTCTCATGGGCTCTTATTGGATCTCATCCATTAGATCCAATAATTTAGGGGCTTATTGGATATTCAATAAGATAGGGGCTCCGACAGATATCTCATATCCAAACCTCTACTCATCGTAATGCCTATCATATGTGTGTGACCCTCTAGGCCCAATATCGAGCTGGCCATGAGTCATACCTGTCAGAACTCCTTCTAGCTTAGTGAATTATTATCTCCATAATAATTCACACGACTCATCGATTGCGGACGTACTAGTTCAATACGCCGTAGTCCCTAGACGATACAGGGGAATCCATTCTATTGGACTTGTCTGTCCTCTATTGTCATATACCTATAGTCCCTCATCTATCTAATATCCTAGAGACCGTATATCAGACATATACGGTTTCTACTCGAGTCTCGCTCTAATCAGATTCTCCTAGAGAACTCTTTCTCTCTCAATTTGAATGACCCTAGCTAGGGATTTGTTTAAGCAAGAACATATGAAATATTCCTCTCTTGACACCGAGAGTGGATGATCCTTTATCAACACTCAATAGCCCTCGTAAGGTTGACTACCACTCTCGATAACTAGCTGTG